GCAATAAAATGGCAACGCCAACAGCCGACTGTTATCCCTTAACATATTTACTTAAGTTGCTTATTTTCTGGACAAAACGATGGGGTATTGATGACTAAAACCTTATCCCTTTCATTTGCGCGCAGCAATATATTCGGCAGTATGTTACAAGTTTGCTGGCTTTAGACAATGATCAGATCCTGCAGATTGCCAAGGACCCTGGAGGCAGCCGTGTTCTTGAGGCATTTTTATGTTCGAGTGCAACAACAAAGCGAAAATTTAAAGTTTTCGCAAAGTAAGCCTTTCCTGAATAGCTCAACTCTTTGGAGATCTTTTCCCTCATTCCGGAAAATTCTATGTTCTGACAGACTCAATCAACACATATGTTTTCCCCCCTCAAGTATTATAATGCAAAGGATGTGCTTTATGCTGTTGTAAATAAATGCCGATAGGTACATTGTAGTTTTGTGTACTGAAGCCATGTGAATTGTTGGTGCTACCATATTTTCTTTATCATAAGTAGTAATCATCAAATAACAGCAATGGAAGAACTCCATTGTTTGTGTATGGCATTGGCATGGAGCCGCCCGTTAGGCAATTGCTACATTGCCGATAAAAATGTTGTTCAAAACTCGGAAGTTTCCAAATATTGTTGAACAATGGGAAACATTGGCAAGCCACACTAGAAGAGGGGGTTTGGCTCAACATGTTACGATCGGGTAATGTATAGCAAAAGAATAAATGGTCTAAAATAGAAAATAGATTCTCAGTGTGGTGCCAATCCACCCTCCCTGAATATATGTCATTGTATTGTCATGCTATAATCATGTACACACATCGTAATTTCTTCCACCATCTGTTGGCTCTCTACTTGGTAGTTGTATGATGCATTTTGATTTCATGATATTACAGTATTGTGCAACATAACATTAGCTTGCAATGCCAATTCTTTTGTATTTGGAAGTACCCCTGCTGTTTTAGCTACATTGAATTTTCTCAATACCTCAATTGTCATTTTACTTCTTCCGAAAGGCTATTTTGGCATAGTGCTGTATGGCGAAGACTGTCTGGCTTATATATACGTGTGATTTGACAGATTGCAAGGTCATTACGGGGAGATTGCTATGTATCCTTCTGGCTCATTCTTGGTAGAAAAATGCTTTACAGCGAGTAATTTTTCCCACAAAGAGGCCATCGTGTCAGAGCTGCTGGCTATGCAAAATGAACTATCTCGGACAAGACATGCCATCCACTTGTTAAAGAAACTGGATGTTGATAGGTTAATCATTTTTCTATTTCCCTCGTACTTTTGTGTACGGACCTAGTATTTAGCATGTTAATAGACTTTCTCTTCCTATTTATTTCGTTATAGATACTCAAGACGACCCGACCAGTGGAGAGCTGCGCTAACTTCGAAAGAAACAACCCAGAGGGAATTTCAAGCCGAATTTGGCCTGAACAACAGTAAACCTATTGGCCAGAGTATTGAGGAGCTGCTTTCCCCTCAAAGCCCGGCAAAGAAGCGTAAACAGAAAGAGAAGACCGACAAAACTACTACTGCGGATGCCAGCCACACCAAGTCAGAATCATTTCAGAAAAACACCAAGGGACAGAAATCCGCCAAGGCAATGTCTGAGGGAGAATCGAGCAGCAAGAAACCCGTGAGCATGCCGTTCTTGAATGACAGTGGCAAGAGGAAATCGCCAGGTTTCCTATCGGACAAACCGATTCCCAAGAAACAAAAACACGAGAGACCCACAGATGGCAGGCGGTTTGTCGGGGATGGCAGCAGCGTTAGCACACCGTTTGTCAGGCATAATGTGAAGCAGAAACAGTCCATCGCTGAGCTTGCTGCTCTGGCTGGTAAGGATAAACTGACCGCAGGGGAGGTCCGGAAGCTGCTCAAGCCCGAAATTTCAGCCAAGGGCGACTAACTCAAATCTTATTTGTCAGCACTTGTAGAAAAAGAGGACCCGGTTCTCGCAAACCATGTGGACCAAGGCGGCGATTTTGTCGGTAGAGTAGGTTTTTACTCATCTGTTGCCTTGAGCTGTAAGATGCACGAATGGATCTATGTACTTGAAACAGTCACTTAAGGTTATTAGTTTTGGTTCAGGAGCGACTTTCTGAAAATCCAGTGGTAAATCTTTTGTTATGTTTGTTGGGTATTGCTTGCTGATGATTTTGTGGGAACAACTCTCGTAATGAATCAATCTGTGGGGACAACTTGTGTCAATTCTATGACGGATGAAGTGATGCGGGAACAACCGAGGAAGCCAAACTCCCCGTGCCGCGGCAGCCACAGAGGAAGTACCTCGGCGTCTGGCAGCAGGGGACGTGGGTGGCGGAGATCACCGACCGCGACACCCACAAGCGGCATTTGCTCAGCTTCTTTCACACGACCGAGCTTGCTGCCCTCGAGTACGACCGGTGGCAGGTTCGGCTGCACGGCGTCGCTGCCCGCCTCAACTTCCCGTGGGGTGAGACGTCGTCCAGCTCGAACCGAGGTAGGGGGGTGGTGTCTGCGACAATGGCTAGGGTGGACCGGGAGGCGAGGGAGCGCATCGCGGCGAAGGTCATCGATGAGGAGTATCTTCCGCCTCCAGTACCTCGAGCTGGTGGAGGCGGTCCGGTGGCAGGTTCGGCTGCACGGCGCCGCTGCCTGCCTCAACTTCGTGTGGGGTGAGATACTGTCTAGCTCGAACCGATGCAGCCGGGGTGGTGTCTGCGGCGATGGCTAGGGTGGGCTGGGAGGCGAGGGAGCGCATCGCGGCGGAGGTCGTCGACGAGGAGTATCTTCCGCCTCCAGTAGCCCGAGCTGGTGAAGGCGGAGCGAAAAATCTTCGCAGAGCGCACAGTCGAAGGGGAGGTCATCATCCTCTCGGACGATGAGGAGCACGGTGGCGGCAACGAGGAGCACTTCGACGTTGAAGAATGGCGGAGGATCTTCCCGGCACAAGGCCGGACCCCATGGGCGGTGGGATGTCGCGAGCGGATTGACTTGCCCTCTATAAGGGTGATGGTGTTTAGTTTTAGTTTAAGTACATGTTTAATTTTAAGTTCAAGTTCATGTTTAGGTTTAAAAACTAGACTATGTTTCGGCGGATGATTATGTACATTTTGTGTCGAATTTCGTTTGTTTAAATCGAATCTATGTTGAATTTATGAATATTTGCTTTTTACTCCGCCAAATTTAGGAGTTCGGCCCTAAATTTAGTGAAGTAAAAATCCTCCACTAAGTTTACTCGGCCGTTTATAAATCAAGTTCATCCTTATCATGAGTGATATTATATTACGTGAGGTCCAAATCGACCACATGATCAAAATAAGCTTTGTCGTGAACCAATCTGTGGTTGGATGGTTAGGACGAGAGTGGTATCCCCTGTTCATTAGAGTTGAAATTTCATACTTAATACTGGGTTCATATTTTTCTAGATTTATTTCAGGGCTTCCAGCCAATGGCGGAGCTTCAGTAAGGTTGGATGGGCCATGACCTGGCCAGCCCAGAGCAAAAACAGTGGAGGGTTCAAATTAGATTAGGCCAGTTTGAGAAAAATAGTGGGCTTTTCTTTGTACCGGCCCGCCCATATTTGGCATCGTAGTTCTTCCAGCAATGTACCTTTAGTGAAAGGAGTAGTTTCCGCCGATTACAAAGACGTGTGCGGTAACTTCATCAATGTCAATGTCAATGTTAAGATAATGTGCCGGCTCAGTCTCTCGCATGTTCTCGTAGGGGTAAGATGTGCCTGCGCTTCTGCCAGTCAGTTCTCCGAAAAAAGAGGATCACACAAAACGTCCTTTGCCCACGTGAGGGGGGTGTAAACCTAACCTGGACGTTTGACATCAAGCCGATCCGGCGCTTCGTCCCAAAATCTCGTCGCATGGGAACAGTTCAACTTCAACAGAGCATGCATCATGTCCTCCTCCTCAGCGAGACAGATTTTGCACTTACTATCAGTAACCGGAAGGGAGGGAATATGAGGAAGGTTGACGATTGTGGGTGGCACCCTGTATTCCCAGACTTTCAGGGGCCCCGTTCCAGCGCGCACGGGGGCCAAGCAGGCGGCATGCACAGAGGGTGTTCGACGAAATGCCTCACCGAGCGAGCGGCTTTGTTGTGGGGTTGCGTTCAATTCAACCTGACTACGTGCGCCGCTTCAGGCTGGTCATAGTGGGGAGTAACTTATACTAGTGTCATGCATATGACACTAGTCTAAGTTACTACCTTTATAGTGCAAAGTAACATATTATTAGTGTCATATGTGGCTTCATTTAATGGCTTGTAGACTCATCTTATCTTGGGAAGCGCTATGTTACAGTAACATATTATGTTACCACTTCTTATTAACTACATGCCACATAAGCAAATTTTTTTTTGAAATGTGCTATGTTACTACCTAAGTTACTCCCACTATGACTAGCCTCAGTCGGCGTCAGGGTAGCGACAGCAGGTGAGGTAATGCCGGTCCCATTGCTTTAGTTATGAATCGAAAGATGTGCACCTCATTTGATTTTGACTCTCTGCCGTAAGAGTTCATGCCAGCATGCACCATTAACTTGCCAAATATCAAAGTATAAGACTTTTTATTTTGACAGGATGGAGTACTGACCTGGTCAGTCCTGTCTACGCCTGCCCAATAGAGCCGTTCAACTGAGGACTCTAGATGGCAAATACTCCTACTACTAGCCAAGCATGTCTGATGTTGACTGTGAACCACATGTTACAGTCTCTGTTTTAGTGTGCTTGTCTGTGTACCGAAATGCTCAACATTTTCCACACTGAATAGTCATGGCTATCCATTAATTCAACCGCACTGCCAACCATATTTGACCTGGATAATTCCTGTATGATGTAGCACACCATTGACTTGCAACCGAAGCTGTTGCTTGGTTCCCATATATCTGTTCAGTTAGGATGGACGGAGCACATCCAATCATCCATTAGTCACCAAGAAATACCTCATCAAATTCAGTCAGGACGGACGGAGCACATCCATTGCTCACCAAGAAATACCTCATCAATGGAGAGAGCAAGCAAGCGGAGGTCTGTGCTCCCGTCTTCCTTTGTTTTACTACTCCCCTTCCTCATCAACCTTGTGTGCCCCGGCTGGAAATTCACGGATGCAGGAGACACGCTCCTTCCTGGACAATCTCTAAATGCTAGCCAGGTCCTACTCTCAAACAATGGTGTCTTCAAGTTGGGTTTCAACTTGCAATATGATCCTTCCCCGTATTGTCGTTTTGGCACCTGGTTCACTAACTCATCGCCCCATGATGATGATTCACTGGTTTGGCAACCTGATCTGGAAGCGACTTTTGATTGCAATTCATCATCAGCTACCCTATCAGAGAATGGCACGCTACATATAACCGACAGCTATACCTCTGTCTTTTTGACCACTTCTATCTCTGCCATTGCAGTGCTTCTTGATAACGGAAACCTTGTATTAAGAGACCAAGCAAACAGTTCGCAGGTGCTTTGGCAGAGTTTTGATTACCCAACTGGTACACTGCTCCCTGGAATGCGCCTAGGGTCCAATTCAATTATCGGCAAGAGCATGATCCTTTTTTCTGATCTTAGTAATTATACTGAGTATGACGTTTATATTACAAATTTTACTCTGAGAGTGGATGCAACAAGAAGGCGAGGTTTTATTATTCAGCAGAATCCTTTTGGTTTAATGTTTGCTGGTACTTTTCCTAGCTGGATAGTTCGTGAAGATGGAGACTTTGTTGTGACACTAAATGACGCACATACATACATGCGTTTAAATGGCTCTGGATTTGTTGAATTTGCTAAGCAAGAGGCACGCAGTTCTATTTTGTGGTCTGCTCCAGAAAGCTTATGCGACTTTGAGTCATACTGTGGACCTTATGGTATCTGCAAAAGGTCAAGCTTCTGCATATGCCCTGCCGGTTTTGATCCATTAAGCACAAAATCAAGGAATTATCTTGGCTGTTCGAGGGAGGTTCCTATGAATTGTGAAGGAGACAATTCAACCCATCGGGAAGTGGCGTTTTATCCAATAGATGGCGTCTACAAGTTCCCCGAGAATTCTTGGCACTCTGTTGCCAGAAATCTGAAAGAGTGTGAAGCCTCCTGCTTAAAGGACTGTACCTGTACTGCCTTTGCTTACAATGTGACATGCCTATTATGGTTTGGGGAGTTACGGAACACAGTAGTGCTTGACTCTGGTTCAAATGGCAATCGTTTGTACATTCGTGTTGCCACCAAACAACAACAGGAAAATTCGGGTTTCAGAGCTGCTCCTCTGTTTCTAACGGCAATGGCCGTGTTAGTCATCATTGTTATTATCATTGGTCTGACTGTTTTGTGGAGATGCAGAACAAAGTTATTCAGAGCAAGAACTGTGTATGAACACGGAAGCCTTGTGGTTTTCTCATTTGCACAAATAAAGAACTCAACAAAAAAATTCTCTGAAAAACTCGGAGAAGGTGGTTTCGGCTGTGTTTTCAAGGGGACATTGCCAGGTTCTGCTGCAGTGGCCGTCAAAAGGCTGAAATGCCTTGGACAAGGAGAGAAGCAGTTTCGAGCAGAGGTGCAGACCATTGGGATGATTCAACACAACAATCTTGTTCGGCTACTTGGATTCTGTGCTGATAGCAGTAGCAGGTTATTGGTGTATGAGTACATGGAAAAAGGTTCTTTAAACTCACATCTCTTCCGTAAGGATTTTGCAAAACTGAGCTGGAAGCTGCGGTACCATATAGCACTTGGAACAGCAAGAGGCCTGGCTTATCTGCACGAGGAGTGCAAGGATTGCATTATACACTGCGACATGAAGCCGGACAATGTACTTCTTGATGCACAGTTCTGTCCTAAGATTGCCGACTTTGGTATGGCGAAGCTTCTTGGTCGGGATTTCAGTAGGGCCCTGACAACAATGAGAGGGACCATCGGATATCTTGCACCGGAGTGGATCTCAGGGCTGCCGATCACACATAAGGCTGACGTCTACAGCTATGGAATGATGCTTTTTGAAATCATATCAGGGCGAAGAAATGCGGAGAAAATTGAACAAGGGAACTTTACTTACTTTCCCATCTTTGCTGCAGTCAAGCTGCATGAAGGGGACGTTATGTGCCTGTTGGATAGAAGGTTGGAAGGCGATGCGGATGTGGAGCAGCTGAGGAGAGCTTGCAGAATTGCATGTTGGTGTATTCAAGATGCTGAAGATCATAGGCCAATGATGGGGCAAGTTGTTCAGATGCTAGAAGGTGTTCTGGATGTTGAAGTACCTCCCATTCCAAGGTCACTGCAGAATTTTGTGGGCATGGAGGATTGATTGCACTTTCTCTACAGGCATGTACTGTCTCTGAAATACTAAAAGAGCTATCATTATATGTCAAGAATTAAGTGTTCAAAGTTATGTGTATTTTATATTCTCTAAACTACGTTATCCCCTTATCTGCTAAGGTTCTGAACTGAATTTGCTATCATTATAGGCTTGTGATATTGTGCCTTCACTTGTTTCTCTGTTGGCATGATGGCTTGTCTGTTCGACAATCAGAACTGTAAATCTTTATGTATTTATACGAATTGAGTTCAAGATATCATGTGAATGAAATTCTAGTAGATGTACTTACTGCACCACATACTGCGGTCTTTGCACAAACTAATTAACTAATCCTGCTGTTTCAAGCAGGGTCCTCAATGGTTCACTGCAGTAGCACACACGTTTGCAGAATATCAATTATATCTTTTTTGTGCTAAATTTACTTGTTAGCATGGTTGTAGATTCTTGTGAATAATTGGGTAACCACATTTTTTTTCGAAAAGGGGGGACTCCCCGGCCTCTGCATCAGAACGATGCATACGGCCACAATTGGGTAACCACATGAAAGTATGAATAATATGTAGGCATTTTGGCTGTCTGTAATGCACAAAATTTAGATAGATCCATGGACATTTCAGAATAGAACTCTAAAACAAACATCAAGTAATTTTCAAAAAGAAAATCCTTCTCATTGTTATAATTAGCATAAAAAGATGTATCCTCTGGTTTCTGTGTAGTGTCAGCCTCTGCTTTCAGCTTGGTTGGATTTTTATTTTTATTTTTTGAGGGGGGTGAAAACAGTTTTGTTCAACAAATAAGGGGCCGGGATACAAATAATTTCAAGAGTCCCTAACAACCACACATAACAACCAGGATCTAATGATGCTGCTGCCTTTGGGAGATCATGTTCTTCAAAATTGGACTCCCTCATTTCATTCTTTTCTTTGCCTTGATGACTTGAATAATGGTGCTGCTGATGCCCAAGAATGGCTTATCCAGGTGATTAACCGTTGCCAGACAGTCCGCTGTGATGATTATCTTTCTCAGATTGAGATCAGAAACCAAATTAAGACCTTCTAACCTGTTTTCTGTGGACTCTGCCTGATGGTTTTATTTATAAAGTCGGGTGTATGCTTTTTCTCTAGAAGAACACTCATTGCGCTCATAATGCCATGCCCAAGAATCATCAACATTCCGGGAGTTGAGTGGGATATTGAGAACAACATGTGCGTCCGGTGCCTGCAGAAGTGCAGATGTCCCCAAACTAGATCAGCGTTCTGGTCTTTTTGACGCCCCATCCATGAATTCTTCAACTAACTTCAGAGGGATGGCCGACCGTGGGTGCAGCGTTCTTAGCATCTCTATTATCCCTTTGGCAGCCAATTGTCCTCCCAGACAGTGGGGTAGCCAGGCCCCAGGCAAGAGGGGCCATGGCCTAGGCGTATGGCTGAAATCCTTCTCTGACTGTAGCAGTATAACTACTATAGCATAGGTTGTTAGAGCAACTCCAGTAGATATTGTAAAAGTTCATACTGTAAAAGGTTTTTTTGAGTAAGGGGCGGGTTCCGACAGAACAGATACTGTAAAACCTGTACGCAAAAAATATTTCTCCTTTTATTTCTCATACAAATTTGCATGTCAACTCGATATGATCTACTCTCTCTCTGTTCCTCTTTATAGTGTGCCTTTGTGTGTAGCGCTTATACGAAAACATGAGCTGGCGCTCTCATTTGGACAAAAATTGCCCATCCCCATGCTCGGTCTGTCACCCATGTGGGTGTTGTTACTGTGCTCCCATGAACCAGCCAAGGGCTATTTTCGCCCAAAGCAGCCTCGCGGCGCTTATGCGCAGTACATTTCGGAATCTAAGCCAAAAAACTATACACACTAGAATATGGAATGGAGGGAGTATACTTTAACACCAATATGGATCGAACTTATTAAATTTTAACATCACATGATACAAAACTAATCCAAATTATAATAACAAATCAAATTCAAAGAAACAAGAGGGGAAAATATGGTCTCAAATTCAAATAATTGTACAAATCAAGCATGAATAAAATGAGGAACCATGATCAAATCAAAGGAGACTATCTCCCAAATAATTCCCACTGATCCCAATGAGATCTTCATGAAGTTGGGTATGCGAAGCCCGGTCTTCACTCTTCTGATATGTCTCAAGAAAAGCTTGAATCGGGTCCTGGTTCCTGCGAGATTTCACACGGCTACCAACATTGTCATACTCAAATGACAAGTTCAAGTCCCTCTCATTCTCGACGATCATGTTTTGGAGAATCACACAAGCCATCATGATGTTGGTGAGAGATTCTTACGTGAAAAATGAGCAGGACCTCGAACAATAGAAAATCAAGGTTGCAACACACCAAAAGCTCTCTCAATGTCCTTCCGTCAAGCTTCTTGACAAGCAACAAATCAACATTGCTTCTTACCTTGAGGTTTTGAGATTATCTTAACTATGTTGACCATGAAGGATAGATACCGTCAGCTAGATAATACCCCGTATCATATGCATGGCCATTGCTCCGGGCCATGGAGTGTCGCTCCTGCTAGGAAACATCAAGGACCGAGAATGGAGACCATGGGGACACGTCTAAAAGATAGAGAACATCGAAACCACCCCTCGACAGAGTTGAGGACGCAACACGCCAGGGAGAGGCAAGCTTGACGATGCATGCCATTTGCAATCAAGAGAGACCGAGGCTGCACAAAGACACCCTCAATAGGGTGAAGGTGCCAGATGGACTAGGGTTTTTACCCAGAGCCACCCACCTCCCCTTCCCTTGCTACCCACATAGCCAAGAGGAGACGCCACCACCACTGCCATGTTGCCCGTCACAGAGCCAACCGTGCAGAGACATCCCCAGGGCCGTGTGACGCCCCCGATTTAATCGTACACTAATTATACACGCAAACGTGTACGATCAAGATCAGGGACTCACGGGAAGATATCACAACACAACTCTACAAATAAAATAAGTCATACAAGCATCATAATACAAGCCAGGGGCCTCGAGGGCTCGAATACAAGAGCTCGATCATAGACGAGTCAGCGGAAGCAACAATATCTGAGTACAGACATAAGTTAAACAAGTTGCCATAAGATGGCTAGCACAAACTGGGATACAGATCGAAAGAGGCGCAGGCCTCCTGCCTGGGATCCTCCTAAACTACTCCTGGTCGTCGTCAGCGGGCATCACATAGTAGTAGGCACCTCCGGTGTAGTAGGAGTCATCGTCGACGGTGGCGTCTGGCTCCTGGGCTCCAACATCTGGTTGCGACAACCAGGTAGAAGGGATAGAGGGAAAAGAAGGAGAAAACAACCGTGAGTACTCATCCAAAGTACTCGCAAGCAAGAAGCTATACTACATATGTATGCATTGGTATCAAATGGAATAAGGGTATCATATGTGGACTGAACTGCAGAAAGCCGGGATAAGGGGGGGATAGCTAGTCCTTTCGAAGACTACGCTTCTGGCAGCCTCCGTCTTGCAGCATGTAGAAGAGAGTAGACTGAAGTCCTCCAAGTAGCATCGCATAGCATAATCCTAACCGATGATCCTCCCCTCGTTGCCCTGTGAGAGAGCGATCACTGGTTGTATCTGGCACTTGGAAGGGTGTGTTTTATTAAGTATCCGGTTCTAGTTGTCATAAGGTCAAGGTACAACTCCAAGTCGTCCTGTTACCGAAGATCACGGCTATTCGAATAGATTAACTTCCCTGCAGGGGTGCACCACATAACCCAACACGCTCGATCCCATTTGGCCGGACACACTTTCCTGAGTCATGCCCGGCCTCGGAAGATCAACACGTCGCAGCCCTACCTAGGCACAATAGAGAGGCCAGCACGCCGGTCTAAACCTAAGCGCACAGGGGTCTGGGCCCATCGCCCATAGCACACCTGCACGTTGCGTACGCGGCCGGAGAGCAGACCTAGCAACCTCCATTACAAAGGAAGTCACGTTACGCGGTCCAACCCGGCGCGCGCCGCTCAGTCGCTGGCGTCACGAAGTGCTTCGGCTGATACCACGACGTCGAGTGCCCATAACTGTCCCCGCGTAGATGGTTAGTGCGTATAGGCCAGTAGCCAGACTCAGATCAAATACCAAGATCTCGTTAAACATGTTAAGTATCCGCGAACATCGACTAGGGCCAGGCCCACCTCTCTCCTAGGTGGTCTCAACCTGCCCTGTCGCTCCACCTCAAAGTAATCGTCGGGGGCCGTCGGGAACCCAGGCCCACCTCTACCGGGATGGAGCCACCTGCCCCTTTAGCCCCCATCTCCGAACAGTATCACAGGTAATGTAACTGTGTAAAGTATATCGTATATGCCCGTGATCACCTCCCGAAGTGATCACGGCCCAGTAGTATAGCATGGCAGACGGACAAGAGTGTAGGGCCACTAATGGAACACTAGCATCCTATACTAAGCAGTAGGATAGCAGGTAATGGTAACAACAGTAGTAGCAAGGACAGGCTATGCATCAGGATAGGAATAACGGAAAGCAGTAACATGCTACACTACTCTAATGCAAGCAGTATAGAGAAGAATAGGCGATATCTGGTGATCAAGGGGGGGGGCTTGCCTGGTTGCTCTGGCAAGAGAGAGGGGTCGTCAACACCGTGGTCGTACTGGGTAGCAGCGGCGTCGGTCTCGATGTCTAGCGAGAGAAGAGGGGGAAGAAACAATAAATATAATGCAAACAAATGCATGACGATGCATGACATGACAAAGCGTGATGCTAGGTGCGTCCTAACGCGGTACGAGGTGGTACCGGTGAAGGGGGGAACATCCGGGAAATTATTCCCGGTGTTTCGCATTTTTGGGTAAAGGAGCCGGAGTGGGGGAAAGTTGCGTGTTTGCTATGCTAGGGATGCGTGGCGGATGAACGGGCTGCGTATTCGAATTCATCTCGTCGTTCTGAGCAACTTTCATGTACAAAGTATTTTCATCCGAATTACGGATTAAAAGATATGATTTTCCAAAG